GGAAGGAAGTGTATCAGAAATGGTAAATATGTGGGTAAATGAAAAAGACTTTTAAAAACCTTATTTTAACAATTTATTTGAAAAGTAATTATTTAATGCAAAGATAATCAAGTAAAAAATAAAAAAAATATATAAGTAAAATAGCACAAAGACTAAGAAGGGAAATAGAGGTATGCTATTGTAAGATTTTTTTTTTAAGGTTTTATTTATGTTGGGGGGTGAGGGAGAGAAGCAAACCCTGCTGAGTGGGGAGCCCAGCACGAGGCTCAATCCCACAACTCTGAGATCATGACCTGAACTGAAAACAAGAGTCAGATGCTTAACTGACTTACCCACCCAGGTGCCCCATAAGATTCACGTACATACATTAAGTGATATAATAATTCTTGATGGTAGGCAGTAATACATTAAAGATATATATTATAAATCCTAAAACAGCTACTAAAAACAAAACAGAGGTATAGCTGACAACCCAGCAAAGGAGATAAAATGAAACAATAAAAGTAATACATTAATCCAAGATAAATCAGAAAAAGTGGTAAAAATGACCAAAGAACAGATGGAACAAACAGAAAAAAAACAATAGAGTGGTACATTTAAATTTGACCATGTCAATAATCACATTAGATATAAATAATCTAAGCCCTCCATTTAAAAACCAGAGATTGTCCAATTGGATAAAAAGAGCAAGACCTCACTATATGCTGCCTACAAGAAACCTACTTTATACGTAAATAAGAAAATAGTTCAAAAGTAAAAAGAATGGGAAAGATATACCATTTTAACACTAATCAAAAGAAAGTTGGGAGTGGCTACATTAATATTAGAAAAAAAGTAAATTTCAGAGCGAAGAATATTACGAAGTATAAAGAAGGTTGTTTTGTAATGATAAAGATGTCAGTTTGTCAAAAGGACATTGCAATTCTAAATATTTGTGTACTCAATAAGAAAGCTTAGAAATACATGATATAAAAATTAATAGAACAAGAAGAAGTAGAAAATTCCACAATTAGTCAGAGATTTCAGCCTCACTCCCTCGGTAATCAATAGACTGTACAGATGGAAAACCAGTTATTAACTGGAAGATTTGAAGAACATTATGAATGACCTTACCTAGTTGATGTTTATAGAACATTCTACCCAATAACAGCAAAATACATATTTTTTTAACGTGAAGAAGGAACAATTTGCTAAGATAGATCAGATTCTGGGCTATAAAACAATTCTCAAAAATTTTTAAAGGATTCATCCATTATCAAGTCTCTTCCCTGACCATGGACGGAATTGAATTTGAAATCAATAACAAAAAGATATCAGAGAAATCCTCAACTATTTGGAAACTAAATAACATAATTTAAATAACCCAGGGGTAAAAGATGGACATTTTCATTTTCCTGATGGTGGCGATCATTTCAGAGGTGTGAACATATGTTAAAACTCATCAGATTATATACTCTAAATGGTATGGTTTAATGTATTTTAATTATATCTCAATAAAGCTGTTAAAAACCAGACATGTACTCAATCAAGGGTTGAGATTTGATAATAACCACAATTTTTATTGCTTCATTGTGATATTCTTAAGTGAGATTGGCTCTTTTCTTTTGTCTGTTCTTTTCCTTTCCTTTTTTTTTTTTTTTTTTTTACTGTGCGTATCAGTGAATAGTACAATGACTTCTAAGTAAGCGGTTTTTTTAATAGTACAGTTTTGTGTCCTTAGTAAGTGCTAAGGTACCAGCAGTTTTGCATCATCAGTGTAAAGTTAACACAGTAAAATAAGCTAATTTTGCTTTAGTATCATTATAAATATTGATTCAACCTTGCAGACATTCCAAAGGGTCTTGGAGAATCCCCAGGGATCCATGGGTCACATTTTGAAAACTACTGTCTTTTTCTTTTTTTAAGATTTTATTTATTTATTTGAGAGAGGGCCAGAAAGAGAGAGAGCAGGAGCAGGGGAGAGGGGCAGAAGGAGAGGGAGAAGCAGGCTCCCCACTGAGCAGGGAGCCCAACGCAGGGCTCTAATCCAGGACCCTGGGATCATGACCTGAGCCCAAGGCAGATGCTTAACTGACTGAGCCACCCAGGTGCCCTGAGAATTACTGTTTTAACAAACTTTCTGGTTATGACTGCATTAGTCTATGGTGGGACTAGCTGTGTGAAAATCCTGCCATGGCAACTGCACAGGGATGATATTTACAGCAGTTGGGTCCTTAATATGTATCACAGTATAGAATCTATTCTCTAATAAAGATGATAACCACTCCACTCGTGATTAGTGCTGTCACTGCATACACAACAGATTTTTTTCCATGATGAGAAATGGGGCCTGAAGTTTTTTAATTGGATATAATAGTCATGGGAAGAGTGTGAAGAAGGGACAAGTTGCAGCAGGGGAAAAAAATAGCAGATAAGGGATTTCTGACAATTTCCAGAACGAAAGAGGGGAGAAAAGTAGAATGAGTAAAGGAAAAGGGAAGAAGGATATTTATTTAGTGTATCAGGCACAAGAAAAGATACTAACAAAGAAGGTAGTAGGGACACATAGAGGCCTGAGTCGGATTTGTAGTTTTATGGAGAGTTGTCAGAAGACCTTGCGTGTAAAAAACAGTTTACTAACTAAACTAAATTTGCTTACTAAAATCAGCGTCACTTATTTGTACTAGATGCACCCTGTGGATGCATTTGTGGTGGATGCAGAGAGGTACCGCTCAGATGCCCCTTCAGGGAAGGACTCCTCTCCAGCTGGTGGAGTGCTTTTGGCAGACAGCCTCTAGCTGTCAGCTCGTTTGGCAGCAGAGAGCTGCTTGCAGGAAGTCAGTCCACTGTGATGGGGGTAGAAAGCCCTAGACATTTTGGCTCACCATGCGACAGCTCCGATAGGGCTTTCAGCTCAAGGGCGCCCCACGGGATTGGGTGCGGCTGCGGAGGGGGACCCACTTCCCTGTTAGCCTTTCCCTCGGCCCAGTCCCTTCCCTCCCTCTCCCCGCCTCCGGGGTTTGTCCCAAGGGCACTCCCTGAGACACACCCTGAATGCTAAACTCTGTCTCAGAGTTGGCTTCCTGTGGCTCCCAAACTACAGCAGCATCTATTGACTAAACTGTAACCAAAATTGAAGAAAACTGGAGAGCGCTAGGCAATGGAAAATCATCGTGAAATTATGTGTTAACACTTTAACTCCAAGTGTTTCCTTATTTCTCATTTCGATCTGCTTATACTTAGTGTGATACTACCTTTAACATTTTGTTTCATATCGGTTTGCTATTCTTACCTTCCCTTTCTTTTTTTTTTTAAAAGATTTTTAAATTTATTTATTTGACAGAGAGAGAGACAGTGAGAGCAGGAGCACAAGCAGGGGGAGTGGGAGAGGGAGAAGCAGGCTTCCCGCGGAGCAGGGAGCCAACCTGACGTGGGGCTCGATCCCAGGACCCAGGGATCATGACCTGAGCTGAAGGCAGACGCTCAACGACTGAGCCACCCAGGCGCCCCCCTACCTTTCCTTTCTTACAGGAATCCTATTGTGGAAAGATAAAAAGGTAACAGGGTAAGAAAAACAATTAGGTGGTTTCTTCCCCACCACTCAGGAAATCCACTATTTCAAGGTTGGCTTAAGCAGCAAGAGAGGAAACATACTGGGAGATGTGGCAGTGGTTTTGTTCTCAATATTATACTAATAGAAAGTTCTGAAGTGGTCTGATTATTAGAAGAACTGCCCCTGAAGGTAATAAAGAATTTAATTTTAAGCCTGAAGATTTTAATTTTTCACTCAGAATTCTGAGACATGAATAGGATTAGTAATTTTGAACATAAACAGGAAAGTAGGTACTCCATCCTGTCTTCCCCTGTAGCTCCAGAGGAGGGCAGAACGGTGGATTCCCAGGCCTGCCCTGTCTTTGAAACTCGCTCTTAAGAGTGTAGGAGACAGAGTGGGTGAGTCTTCTGGCCAACTCCATTACCCTCAGACCTTCCATCTCTGGGAAATAAGTCTGTTTCACTGTCCTTGCTTTGATTTTTCTGGGATCTATATGTTACTAGGAGATGACTCAGGCGGACCACACCCTGATCCTCACTGTCTGGAAGAAAAAGAGGATGGTGAGGTAATTGTCCTGACAACTTAGACCACATATCTACAGACAAAATTGAGATTTTGTTGTATTTTTTTCTAGGATTATCTTGATAACTCTGATCTTCGATGTTACAAAGTAAATACAATTGTGCTTAGGTTTTCTTTTGGGAGGTATGCACTGGAGAAGAGGACTATCTAAAGAGCCGCTGCGAACATTTTCAGATAATCACTTCGACCATCCCTCGCGGTTGGGGAGTTGCCTACACGGCAAGGCAACTATTTGTGAGAAAAAGAAAAGATACGCTGGGCTGTTATAAAGGAAATACTTTGAGGGTTTCTAGTTCAGGCTTTGTGCAGGGGGAGTCTCAGTTTGCTCATCTGTAAAATGGGGTTAATACCTACCCCACGTGGTTATGAAGATTACAGAAGGGACGTCAGAAGAGCCAGGCACCTAGGACAGAGCCTGGTACAGAAGTATTCAGTAAACGTCGATTCCCTGTGGGAAAACACTTCATAACCACACAGGGTCTGATGAACCCTCTCTCCCCTTTCAATTAATTCCCAGTTACACGGTCCTGGGGATCATAAAAAATGCCTCTTCCCTGTCTCTCCTCTCCAGGACAAGGAAGTGGCCCGCTCCCGTCCCTCGGTTCCGAAGCTTCTGCCTCCCAGGACAGCCCAGTCCCCCGCGGTGCGAAGGTCGAGGGTGGGGGGAGGAGAGCTGCGTCCTCGGCCTGCGCAGCGCACTGGGGACCCGGAGGCGATGGGGAGGCGGGCGCAGCCGACCCAAGGGTGGAGAAGGGGGACGGCGAAGGACGCGCGTTCCCGGGCTCGTGACCGCCGGCGGCCAGGGGAGCCGGCGCGCAGACAGCCTCGGAGATGGCAGGCGGCGGGGACCGGCGCGTCATGGACACCCTCCACCTGCTGCTGCTGGTGGCCGCCCTGCCCCTGGCGGCCCGGGGCGTCAGACACCGAGGCTCGGCGGACTGGATCCAGGAGAAGGTGAGCGGCTGCCGCTGCGTGACTCTACCTGCGCGGCTGGTGCGGCGTGCGGGCACCCGGGGTCGGGAGATCCCACCTTGGCAGGGTGGGAGGCGGGCAGAGCCGCGCTCACCGGCCCAGGCAGCGGTGCCGGCAAAGGGCACCCGGAGGAATCCGGGCTCTGCCTCCTCGTCGGGGTGCCTCACTGGCCCGGGGGCTGCTTTGGAGACGCCACGGGAGCAGAGTGATGTCACCAGCCTCCCCTCGGCTGCGGTCTGATGCGGGTAGCGATAGGCACAGGAAGTGTGTCTAGCCGGCGGCGCCCGAGCGCGGAGGTGGGGGCGCTTCGCGGCGCCGCCGCCCACTCGGGACCCCAGAGGCCAGCTGTCGCGGCGCTTGGCGGCCGCGGGGGTGCCGGGTGCGCGCGGGGTGTGTGTGTGTGTGTGTGCCCAGCGCTCCCCTACCGCTGCATCCGCGGACGCCCTTGAGACGTTGGAGTTTCCATGCAGTCTCGGGACGGATGTGTGTTACCGTTTGCTTTAGGTTTTTAAGCGCAGCTGCTCTAACTGGAGACCAGCTTCACTTTAAAATATTTTTTTCTTAAAAGAGAATAAATGCAGTTGTCAGAGCGATGGATCTAGCTGTAGGTGGAAATTCATATAAAGAACTTAGGTTGCAGGTTTCCTCTGTGTGAAGTAAATAGGTTCAAAGTTATTTCCTTTTTCTTGTGTAACAGTTTTGAATTCAGGACATTGCTAGGGAATTATGCATACGTTAATGGTATTGGAGTAAAATGGTATGCTTTTAAAAATACTAAGAAAAGCAGTAAAGGGTTGTGAACTTTGACAGTGTTGTGGAACAGATCTTTTAAATGCTTACGGTATGCTTGTATTTCCTCACACGGTGGGAAAACAGGGCACACTGGTGAATGTACCGGCCCTGTCCGGGTCACATGCAGACTCAGACGCAACCACCCGCATGTGTATGTGAATGGCCCACTTCGGTTCTCTGTGTTGTTTCCTTTGCTTCACCGTTTAGACGCTACAACGTGCCCCTGCTTACAGGTGGAGACTACCAGCCACAGGGACCCTGGAGAGGATGTGGGAAGGCAACTCAAGAATAACTGCATTAGAAGAAAAACTTTCCATGGGCGTTCAGTAGGAGTAACATCCTTTAAGGGACATTGAGTCCCATACTTAAGTCCTTTTCTTCTCCACTTCACCCTTAGTACCTTCCTGGTCAGAAATTGGGAAGGGGGCATTAATAACCAGAATATGGAGCCACACCAAATGTGTCTTTCTGATTCATCTAAATGGGTGAATAAGTAAGATGGGAACTGTTTGAATGAGCTGTTCTTTAGGAATCATTTGTAGGCAAGATGCATTTGTAGGTGGGAGAAGGTGTTGGATTCTGGACACGTTTTGAACTAATGAGAACTTAACTTTGGAGAAAAGTCTTTTTAAAGCATGAATCCCTTTTATATTTATTTTAAGAAGCTTCTAGTCACTGTTCTACTAGAAAACTGGATGCTTTCAAATGCCATAAGCAAATGAAGTGAATGGCAAAATCAGCCATGACAATTCCCAATTTCCGGTCCCCTCCTCCCGTATTCTGTAGACCTGCAGGTGGCTGGTACAGTTTGCAGCCTGGGAAATGAATTGGTCCATACTAAAATACATGCCTTCCTGCTATATACGGCATTTAATTATATTAGTCATTGAGGTACACTGGTCTGCCAAAAGCTGAGGTTTAGTAAAGAAAACATTGATTCTGAATCTGTTTTCTTTATTTTGAACTAAAGGTGTGTCTCTTTCAGTGGCATCTAGAGTGTAAAAAACTACTTGATGGTTGAGTTCCGAGGACTGTGATTTGGCTATTTGAAATCTGCAGACATTTTCCCATAGAAGCAGTAATGTAAATGGTTAGATTCTCAGGGTGGCCTACAGGTGTATATTTAGAGGCATTGGCATCTGAGCACCAGGACTCTTATATACAATCAACCTCACAGTGCCCCTGGGGGGAGGGGAGATTCATCCCCAATTTACCCCTGACCACTCCTACACCGGTGAACTGAAGAGCTTTCCTCTGTCTTCTTCCACTCTCTTCTCCAAGGTAAATGAGTCCTGGCTGGTGGTGTAGGAAACAGTGTTCAGTTAGTGAAGGAGGGTGGGACTGGTGGGAGGGTTGGGGGGGCCAGAGCAAGAGCTTATTTCTCTTTTTCTGGGTTATAGTGGACCCTAAATAGAATATCAAAATAGATAGTTTGTTTCTGGAAACTTCTCTCCTATTTCTCCCCTTTCCTGATCTCCCTCTTGGAGCTTGAAGGTTATTATTCTGGGGGTTGACCATATTCCCAAACTACTTCTCTGGAATCCTGTCCCAACTTTGATCTTCAACCCTGTTTCTTTGGTACAGATCCATTCCTTTGGTACAACCTTGTCAACTGGCTATTAAAAAGAATCTCATTACATCAGCCCTCTCTTAGGTGTGAGAGACTGATAGGAAGATGACTGTTAGGAAGTTTGCATTATTTTTTTTAAAGGAAGCTATTAGTTAAAAAGTATGGCTTCTATTGAAATCTCCCAATTATAAAGTTAGCATGCTTATTTTAGAAAATTAGGAAAATACAGAAAAGTAAAAGAAAACTATTGTCAACCATAGTCCCGCATTCAGAGATAATTGCTGTTAACCATTTTGGTATTTTTATTCCTAGTTTCTCTCTCTTTCTCTCTCTCTCTCCTTTCTTTCTATACATATATATATATATCATATTCATATGCACACACATACACGTGTATATATGATATGTATTTTTATTTATAGAAATGGATAACAATTATACCAATCTTGTAGGTTTTTATGAGAATAGAGCTATCCATGTAAAGCACTTAGCACCATGCTGCCCTATAGTAAATGCTCAATAAAGACTAATTGTTTATTTTTAAAAATAACACACATGAATACTTCTTTCATACCAGAGATTATGCTGCATATATGGTTTTATATTTTATTAAGTCACTTAAAAGTATGAGTATCTCCTTGAGCCAGTAAAATTCACTGAAATCATCACTTGATGATTGCAAAATCATCCATATTCTATAATTTATCCTCTTATTGTTGGATATTTAGGTTGTTTCCAAACTTGCTCTTTCATGAAGTTGGGAACCAATGTATTTTAATTGGTAGGATTTTCCTTTATTGTAACAAAGGTGAACATTTCAAGTCATATTGGATGTGGAGGGGCAGATTTTTTGAACAGAGGAACCATATATGGGAGGTTTGGCCTCCCCTAGGGGTCCCTCTCTGGGATCATCTCTGCACGCTGTTACTGCTCTCTTCAGCACTTCCCATTGTTCTGCTTCTGGAGTTACACATATTCTGAAAGTTTTTAGGGTTCCCCTCTTCCATGGTTTTAAAAGTCCTTAACCATTCACCGTTTTACCCACCTTGATTCTTAGGGAAACAGCAATGGAGACTCCAAGGCAGGCATGAGGAGGTCAGTGGTAGGCAGGGCATTGGTGGGGGGAGAAAGACAAAATGTACCATTTTTGAGCTTCTACCACCTGGCGAGTAAGTACTATGACGTCCTTACAGATCATTAAGCCTTTCCTAGTCACAGCCAGTAAGTCAGGGACCTGGGATTTGACTCTCAATTGTCAGTTCAAAGCCTACACTGCTTTTCTTTTAGGTAGAGGACTCCTTGTGTTGAAAGAAGACAGAACTTTATCTTATTCAGTTCTCAACTTTTCCACAACTGCATTTGTCATGTCAGAGGCATCGGACACACGGAAGGGATTTCTGTAAATGCTGGCTGGGTTGAACCTACCGGTAGACACAGGAGTGAATCTGAGCGCTGTCTAGGAGACACTCAAATGGGATGAGAACTGGAATTGAAATTGCTAGGCTTCTATAATGATCTCCCTTTAAGTCAATGGCATGGGACCTCAAATCCCCTCGCAAGTGGGGCCAACTCTACAAATTATGTAATTAAAACCCTCTTTGGCCTGGCACCATCTGATTATCTAGAGGACATGTTTCAGGATATCTGGTTCACACTTCTCTAGCTAAAAGATTCTTGTCACCCAAAGCAGACTTATTGTCCTTTCTGCCTGGCTGAACAGACAAGGCAGGGGCTGTAATAGAGACTCATTCCTCTGAGAATGCCTATACCAAAGAAACTTGTCTATGTGCCTTTTAAGTGAAATAAGCCTAGACTAACTTGGGGTTTGCATTTAACACTGGGCTCAACACTGTTTTTGCCTCATTGACTTTCCTCACGTCCAGCCTACACTTTCTTTCCAGGTTTCTCCTCTCACTCTTTCCTCTTCTCTCCACATAGATTTTTATATTTCCTGGGTTCTGAGAGTGAGGCTCCATGAAAGCTGATTGGGCACCATTTTGGTTGGAAGAGTCCAGTGCTTTTCTGTACAAGGCTTTAATGACTAGGAAGGCTTAAATAATTAACGGAGTGTGGTGGTTTCCCCTTCTCTGTCCTTCACTGACTGGGAAGCTTTTATTTGTATGGTTTTATGGGAGCATCTTTCCTTCCAGGAGGGCAGGGAGAGGGGGGCTCTTTACTGAATCAAGTTGATTAAATGGTTGAGCCCAGGAGATTGAGGAGTAACACATGTAACTCTGGGTATTGAGAAGCATCAGTCAATGGGCCTGTCTGCTGCACTTACCCTTCATTCTTCCACCAAGCAGTTTTTGGTGCTATTTCTCAACTATATTTCATCTACTGTATCTGTTACAGCTGGCAGTGCTGGAGGGTTATTTGTCTTGTTCCTGTTCTTTCTTAAATCTCTTAAGAACTCTTTCATACATTGCCATAAATTGCCTGTTTAAACATGAGCTTGATTTCCTCCCACCGTGGACATGCAGTGAAGGACCTGGTTCACAGGACCCAGGGAGGCTCTGGGATGGAGTAACGGACACTAAACAGAAAAGGAGTCACTGGTCAGACAGCCTTCCTGACACAACAGGTCTCCGTTGTCACAGAGACATTAAAAGAGAGCAAAGACACCAAAATTGAATCACAGCCCTTTCTAGCCCTTTGCAGCAGGTAGCTTCTCGTTTCTCCTGTCTTTATAATTGCTTGGACATTTAACTGATTTGATATTTTTAATGCTCATTTTCCTTTATTATTATGTGTAGACACAGACTGAGTGAAGACAATTTCAGAGAGACCTTTCATCTGTCAATTCCTTATTTGATGACCACACCCAATATTGACTGAGTACTCAGTACGCCCCGGGGTGCCACGTGGCTGCAGGAGGGGCTAGGATATAAAGACAGTCCTTGCCCTCGAAATCAGATGTTAAACAAGTCAACACACCAGAAAGTGGTCTCCAAGTCATAACCTGAGTAAGCAGGAGAGTCAGGTGAAGAGGGAGGAAAAAGCCTGCAAGCTGGAAGTCACCGCAGGCGCAAATGCTGTGACAGGGCAGAGTCTCCCACTGCTTTGGGACTGGGAGGGAGGCCAGGGCGACTGAAGCAGGGTGCACTGGGGCAAGTGGCCCTGCCTGGGGGCGGCGAGGCAGCAGGAAAGACCAGACGGGCTCCTGTCGGCCTGCTTAAGTAGTAATTAACCATAGACGTCATCCCACTTCTTGCCTCCAGTTCCTTCTTCGTCCTTTCACATTTCTGTTGTTTTGTCTGTTAGAGTCAGCTTTCTTCTCAAAGTGCTGTTTGAGAGCTAACTTAAGGACTGAGATCCTGAATGTAGCAAGGAATTTAAAGGCTGCCGTGACAAATCTATGCAGGAAATATATTTAAAAATATATTATGAGTATTATAACAAAGACAAACCTTAAAAGGTTCAGCACAGCATTCACATTTGGGATTACCATCCAGGGTAATGAGGCAGAGCGGCAGGGAGGCAGGGAGGCAGAGCAGAAGGGCACGGGACTGGGAATCCACAGAATCCAGATATTTTCATTGACTTACCTGGAGCTCTCCTACCACCTTGGGAAAATCATCTGGATTTTCCTCAGTTTCCACTGACATAAATCCAGGAGGTTGGACTAGATCATCTCTAAGTTGTCTTTTCAGCTCCAAATTCTATACTTCTTTTGTGTTTGATAGAAGGTAACAGAATGACAACTTGTTGAATGTTTACTATGACTGCTTACATCTATTAGCTCACTTAATTATAATTACTCTAGGAAGTAGGTGATATGATCATTTTACAGATGAGGAAATTGAGCCTTAAAGAGGTTAAGTAACCTCCCAGCGTTACAGCTAGTGAGTGGTGGGGGGCCGAGTTGAGAGTGTGTGTCTGTACCCACAGCCCATGCTCTTTGCATGATCACCCCAGAGGGTAACGTTGAGACATAGCAAAAGGTAGATGAGTGTAAGGCATTGGGCCGTTAGCATTCTTTAATTCCACAGTTTCTCACTAGCTACATGGAGTGAAAATACCTATGTGATTACTGAGATACATACAGCACCAACATGGGAGCTGGGAAGAGCTGGGAAGTAGACAGGGCTCCTCCAGCTTCTGTTTTGCATTCCAAAGAACTTACTATCCTTTCATTACCTTCATCATTCCCCTTAGGGAAGAAATCAGCTGATCATCATGCACTTCCCTGTGGGAAGAGTAACACCTTCCAACACTGAGTGTCTGATAAACATGCAATGAATGAATGATTAATCACAAGAAAATACAGCATGTATAAAGTCATATCCAAAATACAAATTTGATTTTTATGTTTATTTTGGTCTTTAAGTTAAGGTTAACTCAGCTAATAGGTAAATGTTTCTAAGAGTGTGAGTGTTAATAGAATTTTAAAATAATTTTAACTGAAGATAAAAAGTGTACTATCTAGTGGGTTATAGAATCATCAAACTCTGGCTGCAAGGAATTTCAACGATCATCTAGTTTAGAGCTGTCCAATAAAATTATATGATGAGAAGCACGTATGTAATTTTAGGTTCTCTAGTAGCTGCATTAAAAAAGTAAAAAGCAATAGGTGAAATTAATTTTAATGTGTTTTATGTAACTCAATATATGAAATTTCAATATGTAATCACCGTAAGACTTATTAATGGGATTTTTTTATTTTTTTTTAATTATTCAAAGTCTTTGAAATCTAATGTGAATATTACACTTAGAGCCCCTCTCAATTCAACTAGCTACATTTCAAGAGCTTAGTGGTCATATGTGGCTAGTGGCAACCATATTGGACAGTGAAGATGTAGCTCAAATTCCTTTATTAGTTTTTTTCAGGGGAATGAGAAGTTAAGGGACCTACCCAAAGTCATACAACCTATAAACGACAGCCGGACACTCCAAGACAGTGCTTCTTCTATAATGCCACATTGCCTTTTATAAAGTCATTGTGCTAACAAAGTATAATTGTTCTGTTGGCTGCAGTTTTGTAAATGTTGGGTTTTCTTAAGAATAGGAGATCAATAATTGATATTTTAAATCTTAGTTTTACAAAGCACTTGTACTAAAATGATTAAAAGTTACACAGGAAGTGCCAAATACTAATTCTCAGGTTCAATGCATTACGTTCATTTTGTTTTTAAAATAAGCTGCCAAGGGTGGCTCAGGCGGTTAAGCGGCTGCCTTCGGCTCCGGTCATGATCCCAGGGTCCTGGGCCCCACGTCAGGCTCCCTGCTCAGCGGAGAGCATGCTTTTTCCTCTCCCTCTCCCTGCTGTTCTGCCTGCTTGTGCTCTCTCTCTCTCTCTCTCTCTGTCAAATAAATACATAAAATCTTTAAAAAAAAATAAAAAATAAAAAAAATAAAATAAAATAAGCTGCCAAAACAGTGTAACTTTCTAGATCTGAGGGGCCAGTTTTAGAGTTGAGTAGTTTAATTTGCTTTATGACATAAGAGCTCTCTTTTCAGTCTGAGGTTCAAAGGAAATAGTTCTCTATTGCAAATGTCTCAGGGTTAAATCTTGACTATTTTATGAAATGATAGCCAGTTAAATGATGTTATTCAATCCTCAGTATTATCACCAACCAGCCATTTTGAACTCATCATCTCTTCGACAAGTTGCAGAAGGCACCAATATTTCTGAAATGTGGGAAAACGACTTACAACCATTGCTGATAGAGCGCTATCCCGGATCCCCTGGAAGCTATGCTGCTCGCCAGGTAAGGATGCAGCCCACACACCTGGAGGTTGTTGAACACTTTGCTTTCACATGAGAGATATGACACATGTCCCAAGTTCTGAGTTGTCTGATATTCAGATCTGTCATCTCATCTTATTATTCACCAAAATAAGCAACTCAGACAATCAAACAACTGAGAGTGAATGCCTGTTCTGAGCTGAGTGCTACATGTTAATCTAAATCAATTCATGTGTGCAATCTCTGTTGGGGTACAGTAGGAGATAACGTACTAAGTATTCAACTCCTGGTCATTTCTATAACACACCCCTAGGCACCCAACCATGTTTTCTTGGACCCTAACCCCCCCAAACAGCCCTAGGAGGTTCTTGCCTGAAAATTCTGGGCCAAGGGTGAGTTACTGTCCTATCAGGGCCTTCATTCCTCGTGGGAAATTGTATTCTCCCTGGGGGGAAAGTTGAGATCAGTGATAAGCTACTTGCACTAGTGTGGTGCTTCTGAAACTTCCGGCTCTAACCCTTGTTAAAAAAAAAAATAGTAAAAATTTAAAAAAAATTACATTTTATACACACAAAATAAAAATAGATTTAAATGACACAAAAGTCTCATGAAAAAAATCCGCACTCTTCTTACCTGCGTTACCTGGGATTTACTCTGATATTGTTAATTCTATTTTACTAGCTGTTTTGTTTTGTTTTTTAATGCTGGTCATGACCTAGTGAACTGATTTCAAGATCCACTGATTTTTACCATTGCAGTTTGAAAGACGCTGCTGTAGAGAGTAAATTAAACTATAGCTGGGCTAGACCTTGAATGTCTCTGCCTCCTTGGTGCCAGTCCAAAGTGATCTGATATCCTACCTCTGAATGACTGTTTTTTTTTTTTTTCAAAATAGCCCCATTTCAAGGGGCAGCTCGAGAAAAATGGGGAGTGACCGGCCCCTCAAATCCTCCTCTGAGAGTACTCCACCTGCCTAATTCTCCAGGCCCAAAGACCTTGGCACCCCACTTCTGTGCTAGAGTGACACCTGCAAGGCCCAGCAACACAGCTGTTGGGCTCATCCTTTGTGCCCAGTGTATGGCTCCTGCCTTTCTTGTCTAGCCCAGATAGTCATTGTTGTTGCTCCATTAGGCTCCTGTTTCTCCTAAGAAATTAGACAGTGGAGACCCAAAGAGCACCTTAGTTCTTTCTAACCTTTAGGCAGAGTGAGGAATAATAATGATGATGGCTGACTTTCATGGAGAACTGGTTTTTTTTTGTCAAGCACTTTATGGAGTTCTTTGCATGGATTTTCTCATTCGGTCCTGACAACAGTGCTCTCATGTGGGTACTATTATTATCATAGTGCTACAGATCGAAAAGGCACATGAGTTACATGAGTTAACTTTTTCGGACTTATGCACATAGTAGTGATGAGACCAGAATTTGGATCCAAGTCTGCTTGACTTCACTATCTCTAAAGAGCAGTGGCTAGGAGGAACCAACTCTGGAGTATGTGTTCACAGTCTCCAGCTTTGGATCTTCTTTTGCCTGAGTTGGAGAGTGAGACACATACCATTCATTTCAGTGATATTCCCTGGGCCTTAGCTCCCGAGCATTTTCTTTTCTTTTCTTTCTTTTTTTTTTTCCTGAGCATTTCTTAAAGGAAGCTCAGGATGCTTATGGGGACTTTCCAAAATCGTCAGTTCCTCATTAGAAAAAAAAAAAAATTAGGTCTGTAGATTCACTCATTCAATTCAACTTTTTTCATTTCCCCATACCATTTGATCAGAAGGCTCTATATACCCAGAAACATTTATGAATACTTCAGACCTGAGGGTCCTTGCCTGCAGGCTTTAGAAATCCATAAACTCAACAAATATCGCTATTTGGATCTGTATTTAGCTTTCAACAGAATATATAGCATAAATAATACACATAGACACTGTTGTGATTAAAAAATACATTAAATTGACTGAACCCATGACACTTTCCATGCCGTATGGGGTGGAGGCAAATGAGAAGTTTATTGACAGTATTTTGGAATGTGCTGGGACCTGTTTGCTGGGCTGCTTATGCATTTTCTAGCTCACGTGGCAGTAATCTGAACAGGATGGTTATGATAGAAATGTCACTTAGAGATTCAATTTTGTAATTTTTCAAGAAGAAAATCACCATGAATATTTAGAGAGCTGTCCCCTAAGCTGTGGAAGATAAAATGTTTCTGCTTTAGAAGATGAGGTACATGACATTTAGGTTATGATGAGGGAGTTATGCTAATGGACTCAATTTGACCAGGATCAGTACCTGTCACTCAGAACTAAGTTCAAACACGAATGGTGGAAAATCTACTTTTTTTCCTGAGACCTTGTTGAGCACCTGATTAGATGTTTTATCATTTATAGAGTTTCAGGGTTTAGAGAAGACTCTCAAATCTAAAGATACGTGGGCTTGGTATAAAGTTGATTATTGTGTTGACCTTTGCAGTTATCAATAAAGATATGCTTTGCTATAGATTCTTTTTCAAAGAATAATATGGGAACAATGTCCCATAGTCTTCATTTTTTTAAGGGGGGTGCAAATTGTGAGGAAAAAGAGAGAATCCCAAGTAGACTCCATGCTGAGTGCAGAGCGCAATGCGAGGGCTCGATCTCACAACCCTGAGATCATGACCTGAGCCAAAATCAAGAGTCAGATACTTAACCAACTGAGCCACCCAGGCACCCTCCATAGTCTCCATTTTTATTGCCCTGATCAATGAGCCTAAAGATACCTATTGGATTTTTAGAATGTATGTTTTTAGGAGAGATTTTTATTTGTAAAATAAATAGTTTGAGTGAAATTTTGGGGTATTTCAGTGACTTCTCTCTGAGCTAGGAATAAAAAATGGTTTAAAAATCAGGATGATAAAATCTCACTAAGGAGCAAGCCAGAAACTTTGCCTACCAGAGGCAAGCTAGAAACCTCAGGGCTAAAACCCCCTGTAGATGAACAGTACATCTAAGAAGCTGAAGCTGGGCTTCTTTAGCTGAAAGTATGGATATCCCTGGGTTAAGGGTCTTGGGCAGAGAGTGTTCATCGTGGAGCTGGAGAGACTTGTATGTGTACCATCCAAGAAGGAATAGGTACCCTGAAGTCCCCAGTGGCAGAATTCAGCGTCCTGACAATGATCTGTTTGTAGACTTTGTGCAAATACTGTAGAATCTGCTTCCTCCAAACAAACAAACCTGGTCTACTACTATCATTGTTTCTTGGAACCTGGAAATGAGAATTTAAATGAAATTAAATTAGACCCAGGATCATTCACTAATGTTAACCTAAAATGCCCAGGCCTGCCCCCCATGCTGGAAGTAGAATGTCATATTTATGTCTATCTTTCTTTTCCTCTCTCACTCTGTCTCTCTCCTTGTCTCTACCTTTATCCTTTTTGGCTCTATGCAATGTTTGTCTATCTCTGTCTGCATCTCTCTCTGTCTCTATCTATCCATCTCTGTCTCTCTTCATCTTTCTTTTTCTCCCTTCTCCACTCCAAAAAATAAATCAGTAATAATCCAAAATACAATCTATATCCTAAACTGCATTTTGCACTCCTGGTGGGCTTGAGTTCTTTCTACCTGGCTTCAGGAAGCATTCCCTGCTTAGGGCATTCTAGTGAGCAGAACAGTAATTTTGGGAGCCTACTCTAGAGAATTGCAGTGGGAACTTGCAGACTAAGGCTGAAAGCCAAAAGCACAGCAAGGGATATTGGTGACCTAATTAGGGTATGGAGCCAATTCGATTGTTTATAAAGAAATTCGTTGCTAAGATAATTAAATATTTATACTGCATAAAAAAGTTTGCTTCAGGGAGAACCCTTCTGGGGGCATTTGCTGATGCTTTTGTGGATTTTAGTGTCAACATAAGGTGTCAGAAATTATGTCCACAACCTGTTTAGGAGTTGAGAAATGAGTTTGTGTGTGAGACCTTAGCTGAACAAAGCTAACAGATATATATATTTTTAAATCTCTATTCATTTTTGTAAGCATACAGGCTGCTATTGGTTTTGGAGTAGTTCATCATCTGGATACCAGATGTTCTGGAGTATATGCCTTTTTTTTTTTTTTTTAAGATGACCCTTTTTATGGAAAAAAATTTCTTTTCCTTGAATTCTAGGAATAACTATTTTCATATTCTGTGGAAAGCTTATCTGAGGTGCACAGTGATTTCTCTCTATTCAGACTACCAACGTTTGGTATTTAATTTTATGTATTCCCACTGAGACTAATTTATTAGTTATAATCAGCCCATATTTAGTGATAGCTTACTGTGAGCAAAGCCCAGTATTAAGAATTGTGGATGAAAACAAAGCAAATGAGATGTGAACGACGATTTCAAAAAGGTTAGAAACATTTCCTTTTTATTACTTAAAAAAAGAACTTGTAAACTTGAAATCAAAAAGGTAAGGGACTGCATACACATACTATTGTGGCCAAAGTCCACCACACTAAAGAAAGCAGGGAGTGAGAATCAGGAGACTGTTTGTTTATTTGGCTTTTGCGGGGTTTAGTGGAGAATCACTGTCCTCTCTCTGGTTTAGTTAGTTTCCTGGAAGCTTCCTGCCACAGTTTTTCCAAAGCCTTTGCCTTTGTGTCATGTCATGTTAGTTATGACAGGCCACACAAGAGTTGGCTATGCTGGAAAATCTTGTAATTCCTTGGTAGGGGGGAGCCCCCAAAAAACAAACAAACAAAAAAGACAAAACCCTTCCATTCTTTTCCAGTTATTATGAGTTATTTGTTTATCACTTCAAAGTCCATCCCTACTGGATGTTAATTGTGGAACAAATTGCCAGTTCTGGCGATGGTTAGTTTTTCGTTTGATGTTTTAAACCAGTCCTTTCAGGCAAACTTACAAAGACGTATGCAATATTTCAACATAAAATAAAATAAATGAAACCTACTGAGAAAAATGAGGTGAAGGGAAAATGGAGGTGGGAAAGGGCAAGGGAACAGCAGTTAGCTCGCCGTAGCTCCTCACACCATGCATTCTAGGCTCTTCAGGAAGACACTGCCAGACTCAGAAGCAGTGTTTCTTTTCCATCTGCAACCTATCAGCTACCATTTGCTGTTCTTGCCCTCAGAGAGCTGAGGGTAGGAGTTGAGACCTATAGGATCTTAGCATATCTGACTTCTCAAAATGTCTTCTCAGCCTCCTAGAAATATTGCAAGTGGACTTTAATACGTACTGAATTCTACTGACACGTAGAAATGACCCTGCTTTATTGTTAAATGAGAACAGCAAGGGGCAGAATAATGTGTAATGTAGGTCCTATTCCTATAAAAGCATGTACCCCTTCACCAATTACATGTTTGTGTGCTAGTATATGTTCATATAAACAATAAGAATAGTGTGGAAAGATATACATTAGACTCATGGGGCGCCTGGGTGGCTCAGTTGGTTAAGCGTCTGCCTTCAGCTCAGGTCATGGTCTCATGGTCTCAGGATTCTAGGATTGAGCCCCAATGTCAGGCTTCCTGCTCAGTAGGGAGCCTGCTTCTCCCTCTCCCTCTGCCCCTCCTCACTCTCTTTCTCTCTCTCTCAAATAAACAAATAAAATCTTAAAAAAAGAGAAAGATACACATCAGACTATTAACATTGGTTAAGACTAACAATTGATTGGGATTGCTTTGCAGGGCGACAGTTAGGGGAGAGGGAGAGGGATAGCTTTTCCTTTAATCATCCTTGCTATTAATTCTGTAACCATGTGTTGCGCTTTTAACTTGAAAGGCATCACACAAAATTAAAAAATATATATATTTATATAGTTAACCAGTGGAAACTGTCCAGATCTGAAATTTTGGTTTTTCTTTTGATCAGCACATCATGCAGAGAATTCAGAGACTTCAAGCTGACTGGGTCTTGGAAGTAGACACCTTCTTGAGCCAGACACCCTATGGGTACCGGTCTTTCTCAAATATCATCAGCACCCTCAATCCCAGTGCTAAGCGACACCTGGTCCTCGCCTGTCACTACGACTCCAAGTATTTTCACCCTTGGGACAACCAGGTGTTTGTGGGAGCCACTGATTCAGCCGTGCCATGTGCAATGATGTTGGAACTTGCCCGTGCCTTAGACAAGCAACTCCTTTCCTTGGAGGTATTTGTTTCCTCCTCGTAGATTCTTGGGATAAAACACATTAGAAGAACTCAGAGTGAATTCTAGAATCCGTGGTGGGGGGGGGGGAGTAAGAAGGCCATTTAGAAATGTAGACTTTCAGACATTTTGTGCTAATTTGTTGCAAAATGATGTGAGGTTGAATGAATATTAATTGGAAGATTACACTATGATACGCAAAAGTGAATTTATTCACTGGCACTTGATTGCTTAATTTGGCATACATATTAAATGAAATACTACATTTCTTTGCGAAAAATGAAGCAGGTGGACGTTTGGTACAGGCGTATGTATGAGAAGTATGTTTTTTTCTTCTTGTTTCTGTAGCCACGAAACATCACAACCTTCTAATCTGAGAGATGTGGCTCTTGAGTTGGGGGGAGGGGGCCACTGTAAAGTGGTGCTAAGAGTGGGTAATTCAGACATATCAAGATGAAAAGCATGCAGCAGAAATGCATTATTGTTATTATCTGTGAATCTCGGCTCAATTTTATGTAGCATAGTAGAGCTTTTGTTATGTTCTCAGTTCAAAATACTTCTGGGACTCTCAGATGTTATTTCAGTCCCTGTTCTTAAGGGTATATTGGAAAAAAGTGCTAAGCTAGATGAAGACATTTTGTTCAGATATCACCCATAACCAAGTAAACACAACAAAGCAAAACCAAAAATCTTGGTTCGCAGGCAACAAATACCTTTTTTCCCCCTCAGAGCTTTATGAAGGGGCCAGCCTTTGCTACAATGGGGGTAAAGAAGTAAAAGGTTTATCTTGTAATGGAAGTAGTAGAGATATTGGATCTATTTTTGCTGGATATGCTGAACTTGAAGAAAGCAAGAATTGTTTGTAACCTCTCCGCATCCTTTTCACCATTTTTTGTTTTGTTTTGTTTCTTGAACCTTCTATAATGTCTTTGTCTCATTCTCTGCTCTGCTTTCAACTAATACCTTTCCCCAGCAATTGGGTGAGAGAGTTCAGAAGCTGATTATAAAAGTCTAATTTTTCATGTTTGCATTCTAGGGTAAGGACTTTAAGTGAAAGGCATAGTCTGTGTAGTGGGTGTGTTTTCTCTGGGTGAGTTCCTTTGCCTTTTTCTATGTAGTTCATACCTGCTTTTAGTGACTAGAAACAGAAAGGGCTGAATGAGTTGTTGGTTGGACACCCCCATTTTAAAAAATACACATGCATTCTCTTAATTACCTTTTCTCATAGAAGTAGCAGTGATGTGGACAAATAAAAAAAAGGACTAGTTTTAATTGAAATGTGAAGAGTTTCAGATTCATTTTTCCAGTCGTATTTTAACTAAACGTGTATTAAGGAGTTGTTTTAAGTTCTTCAGCTGTCATGGATTAGGTAGGTGGTAGTGGAATGTGACGTGGGAGAGGACAGGAGAATAGACTAGCTTATGGCTCCAACTCTGTGCAGCCCTCCAGTGGTAAGATTACAGTTAGACATTCCCATCTTTTGCCTTCCCAGTGTAGCAGGTTCTAGGTTCTCATTCCTTGACTCTGGACTTGGTTGTTTGATTGTCTTGGCCAATGGGATGCTAGTAGATGTGACAAAAACAGAGACTGGAGATGAGCTTGTGTAATGGGGCTTGATTTCTCGTATCTTTGCCATAAGGGCATGCCCTGGTTGGCCCGCTGATCCACTGGGGAGGATAAGACATGTGGAGCAGAGCCAACCTTAATGATGGCATGGTGAGGCAGAGCTCCTCCCACCAAACCCAGTCTAGATCAGTTGTCCCCCAGCTGATCTACAGACTCAGGAGGACACATGAGTGTTGCTTTAAGCCCCTCAGTTTGGGGTGGGTTTTTTGGGGGGAGTGGGTTTTTATAACTTATTATTGCGGCATTAGCCTCGGATGGGGAAAGACCACAGATAATTCACCTACTTGTTGACCCTGGCAACTAGACATTTATCATAGTACCATGAAGGACTGAAAGACCTTCATAAATCAGGCTACATAGATTTTCCCAGCTCCAAGACTGTTGTTACCAGAAATCGAGGGCCACTGTTATTGTCCTGCTAATCCTGAACAAAACAAAAAGAGCAGGGTGGCTCATGGGACTCAGGATCATTGTCCACATAGTCTACTCTTGTCTTAATGATTGGAACAGAAAGTAAACCATTGCACTGAACACTAGAGTCACTCAGCTGTTGAAATTTCAGTGAGGCACCTGAACATTTAAGCCTACAAAGTGTGAAAACTACCTGCTTTTGCTTCTTCCCTAGGCATAAGTGGAATCTCTGGTCCCAGGCAATTTATTCTGCTCTGGCATTTCATTATTATGCTCTTTGGTTTGGAGTTAGAACTTTGGAACCAGTCAAGGCCCTTTAAACGACTGGAAACTTAGCATGTCTCCATTGAAGTATGTACCTTATACCTTTTGTCAATGAGAAAATCTGTTTAATTACTTAGTAGTTATTAAACCCTGAATACGTATGTATTGTACAGACAAACACATCCTGTGCTTAATGCTGTCAGGAGTTATGGAGAGACTCAAGAGTGTAATAAATTATCCTTTTCTTGTCATCTAATTAAGGAGCGATATTAAAACAATTGCAATGATTAGCATACAGAGATAACTTAGTTTTCAGATGATAAAGACATTTTTTTCCATCTTAGGAAATCACCCTAAAACAATCAGGAAAATTCCATCTTTGAAGAAACTAGGGAACATTGTGTTAATGGGAACCACAATATGAAGACAGAAGGTAAATGGAGAAATGGCAAATGACATAACCAAGTAGAGAGAAGTCATATTCCCCAGAGTGAGGAGGAAATGGAGAAGTCAGTGGTCCCCTGACAGAATCCTGGAGTGGCTCAGGGATTGGTGGAGAAAGTGAGGGAGGTATAAGTGAGGCTGGGGCGGGGGGCAGCATTTATAAGTCCGCACAAAGAGCGCTGGGATATGTAGATGAAAATACCAAGTAGGCACCCGATTGCCCCACAGTGAAGCCAACCAATCCGTGTCTCTAATCAATGTTTTAGTACATTATTCTTTATTTTTTTAAAGATTTATTTATTTGTTTATTTTTAGAGAGTGGTGGGGAGAGGGGCAGAGGGAGAAAATCTCAAGCAGACTCTCTGCTGAGCACGGAGCCCAACATGGGGCTCAATCCCACGACCTTGTGATCATGACCTGAGCTGAAATCAAGAGTTGGATGCTCAACCAACTGAACCACCCAGGCACTCCTAGTACTTTACTCTTTAATATGAATGAACACAAAGGACGACCAGATATTTGAGGACAGTCTCCAGCATGAAAGAAAGGGAGTAAAACAATATGAATTGAAAAATGAATTCAAAGGAAATAAAGCACAAGGAGCAGGAGATAACTTAAGGGACACTGTTTTAAATATCCTTAGAGATTAAAAAAAATAAAAAAATAAATATCCTTAGAGAGATAAGATGAGACATGCTGTCCATAACAGATTAGGGAGATCTCAGATTCAGTTCAGTCTGATGGGAGCATATCCCCAGTACTGTGCTGAGGTGGAGAGAGCGAATGGTTGTATATTTTTCTCCAGGCAGGTCTGCTGCATGCAGGCATAAAGTAGGCAGAAAGTTGGTCTAAAGGTTATATTTTTGCCATGTGAGTTTGACGAAGGCAGAGAGAGGCCAGGGAGTTGAGGATGTATGCAAATGAGTGGTTAGAATGATTGTGGAATTTAAGCTGAATATGGAGTGAAGGACTTCATGGGATTGAAGGACTGTGAACAGGTGAAGGATTCAATAGATCAGGGATGTTTGTGGGGCTGGAGGACTGTGGAGGGTAGGGTACCAGAAGGACTCATGTGAAAAGAGAGGTGACAGTGAAAAGTATAAAATCGATCAGAATCCTACTAGCCCTTCTAAGTTCTGCTCAAATATTGACTCATAATGTCTTCCTTGACACCCCAAGGATTTGACGTCTCATTTTTTTTTAAATTTAGCTTTGTGCAGTGGCAGTATCCTAGCCAATGAGGTTTATCTGAGGCGCGATTATTGCTAATTGAAAACTTTTTTTAAATTTTATTTTAGTCACCATACATTACATCATCAGTTCTTGATGCAGTGTTCCATGATTCATTGTTTGCGTATAACACCCAGTGCTCCATGCAGTACGTGCCCTCCTTAATACCCATCACCGGGCTAACCCGTCCCCCCACCCCTCTCCCCTCTAGAACCCTCAGTTTGTTTCTCAGAGTCCATCGTCTCTCATGGTTCATCTCCCCCTCCGATTCCCCCCCCCTTCATTTTTCCCTTCTTACTATCTTCTTTTTTTTTAACATATAATGTATTATTTGTTTCAGATTGACCTCTCATTCTATCCAATTCCCAGAAAAGTTTTATGTTGCATCTGTGACCCTTGGCACACTTTGTCCTGTTCACATATTTGTTTTATCTTTCCTGACCCAAGTGACGTGTAGACTCCTTCAAAGGAGAGGCTGTAATTATTATTCTTTGAGTCCCTGTTGCATTCCTAAGGCAGATCCTTGAACCTAGATTCAGTGAAAAAATTACAGACTCAAATAAAGTGGGAAACAAGGAAGATTTGCAGTTGTTTCAGGTTGTGTTCCCTGGGACGCACACTGACATGGAGTTTAGCATTTAGGTCCTTTCTGAGGGAGTAGCCCTGGTTTAAGAGCTGCCGCAAGGAGGGGAGAGAAATGGGATTAGGCAGAGGAAGAAGTCAATCCGCCGTGCAGGTTCAACAATAGGCTCAGCCAACCCTGGGGAGCTCTGGAGGTGGAATGGTCGTATAGAGCCCGTAGGACCTGCTTAGATCAGTCATTGGATATAGGACACGCCCATGGCTGAGGCAGTCCCTAAAAGGACTAACAGCTGAAGACCTGAAGACAGCTCTCCTGGTGGCAGGGGCAACACACCCTTCTCGAAGGAAACTGGGTGTGTATCACCTTGTCCACAATGACAATTTCACAGTTTCAAATTTCTCTAAGGAATTAGAAAACATATAAAACTTCTGTATTCAGAGAGAGTGGGGAAAAGTAAAATTTACATGGGTGAAGACCGTGGGAAATGGGATGATTTTTGGAGGTGAAGTGGTACAAAATCCATTTTGGCAATTTTCACCTGCTTTGGTATCTTCCTTTTCTTCGTGGCCTGTCTTTTTGCCAGGTTAATAGGAAACCATGCTGTTTTTTTAAATCCTCACAGTGTTTTTGTGATCTTTTTACTATTCTTTTTTACCAGAATATTCCAGATTCCAAGCCAGATCTCTCACTGCAGCTAATTTTCTTTGATGGGGAAGAGGCTTTACTTCATTGGTCTCTTCGTGATTCTCTGTATGGGTCTCGGCACTTAGCTCCCAAGATGGCATCAACCCCGCACCCACCTGGAGCGAAAGACACCAACCAACTGCACGGCATGGTTAGTCTGGGGAATTCTCATGGTGCTGCAGCTGCAGGCTCTGCCTCAAAGGAAAACAAAGCTAGCGCCAATTAAAGACCTAAAAATGCCACGGCATTCTTGGAGCAGAGTGTTTATTATAGAACATTCCTTGGCAGGCATTGGGCTTTTGAGGAATCCCAGAACTAAAAGGAATGATTCTGGGTTAGAAGTTATGTTTGACTGAGCTTAATTAAAATGATGTAAAAAAATCAGATTAAGAAGACATCAGATTCAGTTCGATCCAATGGGAGCACGTTCCCTAGTTCTGTATAGAGATGGTGAGAGCAAATCCCTTCTTTGAGGCCTCTATAAAGCCTGAGGAGGGTGAGGTCTTGGGAACTGGAGTGTGAGTGAGACATGGTATAGGGGATGGGAGTGAAGAATTTCCTTGGTGACCTCAAAAAGTGTTATAATGACTCTGAGTGTATATGTGACATTGTGTCCGATGTGTTTTGGTCTAATTTGTTGCCATAGGGATGGAAACATTTTTGATGCTGCCTTAAAATCCTGCTCTTATTATCAAGTGATGGGTGCAACACATGGTTCCATTTTAATTCGCATTTCTGGGCCCATCCCTAGTCCCTCACCTCTCTCTACTCTGTTTTTTTTCCCATATATGACCTTCACGCAGTCTTACATCCTCACTAACCCCAGCTTGGAACCTCATGCTACCCTTGAAATTTCATTTCACCCTGTGCCTTCATCCATTCCTGCCTTCACCCTACCTGTGAACTGAAAGCCTATTCTTAACCCCCTCCACGCATCCCTTTCCTTTGCCATATCACTGACCTTCACCCTGTGAGTCCAGATGGCCACATTTTGTGTCCTCTGTGGCTCTTAACACATCATGCTGGCATTCCCTCCACCTTGTTGTTTTTTGGCAGCTCATAATGGGGCCGGGGAGTATGGTTGGCTCCTCATTCAGTCCTTTGGCGTAGCTAAAAAGCATTCAGAGGAGGAGAGACCAGGTTGATCAGGAGGAGGAACAAAGTTATTTATCAGTCCAAATATATGAATCCATAATGATGGTTAAGGCCTTTTTTATTCCCCCCCAAAAAACTCTTAGTAGCTTATCCAACCTTGTAAATATAGTCTTATTTCAAACAAACTTATTTTCCCTCAATGAATACATTTAATCATCACTCATGAGCTAATAGGTATTATGTCTTTAGAATCATAGACTCCGTAGGTATTTATCTACTATGTGTCAGGATCTGTGCTACATATCTACCCACATGTTATCTCATTTATATAAATCAGGAGTTCTTAATGTGGGGGTTAGTCTTCAGGGAGTCCTCAAGCCTGCTGATGTTTTATGGCTCAAACGAGAAACACTGGAGTAATTATGGAGACTTATCAGAAGGGGCCTTTAAAAACCAGCAAGTTTGAGCTTCTGGTTTGATGGAAAAGAAAATGGAGATCCAGAGACAGTAGGTCACAGAGCCGTAGTCAAGCAATATTTCCTTTATGCTGCTTTGAGGAATAAATAGTTACTACCCAAGTGCTTTCCTGTAGGGAGCTCTAACATTTATAGACTATGGATATAAGGACTAATTAGAATGGAACAGAGAGGCTTGGAATCCCATCTGAAAATAAAAGTAAATTTATTCTTTTTTGATCTACAAAATATTATCTAAATGTCCTCTTTCTAATTTATCCTTAATGATATGCTTTTGGGGTTACAGACACAAAAATCTACATTTTGCCATTTGTCCCCATTGCATAAGCAAGATTTTTTAAAAGTTCTTCAAAATATCTCCCTCGCCCACTCCCCCTGCTGTGTTCCCTCTCTCACTGTGTCTCTCTCTGTGTCAAATAAATAAATAAAATCTTCAGAAAAGGGGGCGCCTGGGTGGCTCAGTCATTAAGCATCTGCCTTCGGCTCAGGTCATGATCCCAGGGTCCCTGCTGAGCAGGGAGCCTGCTTCTCCCTCTCCCACTCCCCCGGCTTGTGTTCCCCCTCTCACTGTGTCTCTCTCTGTCAAGTAAATAAATACAATCTTAAAAAAAAAGTTCTTCAAAATAATCAGCTTACAATGTTATTAAACCTTTTGTTCACTTATAGAGCTCCCTGGATTATTCTTAATTGTTAAAATGCGGTTAGTTTTGACTGATTGTTTTTTTCCATTGATGAATATGAAACGTGTTTTGGTGACAGGGATTAAACAATTTTTTTTTCTCTCTTAGGATTTATTGGTCTTATTGGATTTAATTGGAGCTCCCAACCCAACATTTCTCAATTTTTTTCCCAAATCTGCCAGATGGTTTCATAGACTTGAAGCAATTGGTAAGCACCACTGTCACTAAATAGCCAACTTAGTTCCTTCCTACGGACAAACACTACATGTTAAAATTTAAAATTTATAACAAAAAAAAAAGAAAAAAGAAAATTCAAAATCTATGACTTAAATATATGATTTGAAAATATACTTTGCTGGCTTTTTTTCTTGCTTTACTGATTAGTTTATTGTTCCTATTTATCTTTTTCAGTAGGCCCACTTTATTTCCCTGCATGAGACTACATTTGGAACTGGAAACATACAAGGCTACCTTTAATATTTGCATATCCCTAGCAATGGTTGGAAAATATTTTCTCAGAGTCCTGTGTGCAGTGTATGGAATGCATGTCTAGGGAAAACACTCAGAAAAGCATGCTGGCTATTGATGACTGTTATGATCCTTATGATACCAAAAGGCATTCTTTAATTTTTCATTCTTTTTTTTGTCTCTGTCTTTGTCAACTTCTATTTCCTACCTTGTTCAGACATGATTTTCCTTTAAATCTAGAACCATCTCGATTTTCTAAGGAAGTAAGAGATCGGAATGCAAGAGAAAGCCAGGATCCTTCAAAAGTCATTTAAGGGACAGTGTTGTGTCAGTTAAATGACAGTAGACTAGTCTAGACCAGGTCAAGCCAGGCCAGACAAAGAAACAAAATAGCTATGGCTCAAAAGAGAGATGTGGGCTTTGGAGAAGGAAAAGGGAAATAACTTCTTTCCTTCATACTTGCACTACTCCTTCCTACCTCGTAACACATGCACACACACAGAGCCAATTGGCATCAGGGGGAGATGAAAATGAGATAGATCTTTAATGATAAATGATAAAATCCAGGCCAGAAGACCTGCTTTTGAGGCAAGAAACTTCAGGCTAGGAATTCCTTAGTAGCTACATAAACTTCCTGGAGTGGGATAGCATTGCATTTTTTCTAAGCAGCGGGGAAAAACACTACCCTCTCAATTCATACTTTTGCCATGAGTTCAGAATTTGCCAGTATCCAAATCTAGAATATTATAAGAGAAACTTTTACCTGAGTCTCAGGCAAACCTGTGTCCCTCCCCTCCCCCCAACCTTTTTCCTGTGGTTTTTCTCATTCTCCATCTCTCCATTGTCCCACTCACTATCTACCTCTAAGGAGGTCCTTATGTGTAAAGCTAGAGCCCATGTGTGGTTCTTCTTTCCATGTATGTACCCAAGTTCAGCCCAGATGCTTACTGTCAGGGGTGTAGTTGGGCTCACGGCTGCATATTGTTTAAAAAGTGATGGCCACATATGCTGAGATTTCAAATTCCTTCTGCATTCTGAGCATTGTTCAGATAAGAATTGATAATCATCTACTGTCTAATTGTCATCTGCAGAACATGAACTCCACAGATTAGGTTTGCTTAAGGATCACTCTTCGGAGAGGTGGTATTTCCAGAATTATGGTTATGGAGGTGTGATTCAGGATGACCATATTCCATTTTTAAGAAGAGGTAATGTGTGTGTATGTGCGGGCACATATGCATTTTTTACTTATTGTATATTTATTGTATTTTGTGTATTTGCAACAATCTAGAAGGGTGAGGAGCCATTACATTTAATTACTCGATAGATTAAATCATCCACTAATCATCTCACGACTTCTATTTTTTTCATGAAAGTCATTCCAAATCCTTAAGCCCCCACCCCCATTCCAGAATATTCATAAAAGCTCATATTCTACTGACCTTGCCTTCTTACTCATAGGGTAAGATTATAGTCTTACACTTTGTGTAACTCTGGTGTTTTTTGATTAATAGGGAAGCAATACCCTTGATGTCAATGGTGGAAGTCTAAATCAACTCAAGGGCTCTTGTAGTAGCCTCCCAATTGGTCTCTAGCTTTTGCTGTTGCTTCCCTATTCTTTACATAGGAGCTAGAGTTATCTTTTAAAAATGTAAATCAAATTATGTTTCTTCCGGAGGTCTGGGTGGCTCAGTCCATTAAGCATCTGCCTTCGGCTCAGGTCATGATCCCAGAGTCCTGGGATTGAGTCCCGCATCGGGCTCCCTGCTCAGTGGGAATCCTGCTTCTTCCTCTGCCTGCCTCTCCCCCTGCTGTGCTTTCTCTCTCTCTCTCCCTTCCTCCCTCTCTGACAAATAAAGAAATAAAATCTTTAAAAAAATTATGTTTCTTTCTTGTTTTAAAGCTCTGGTGGCTTGCCATCATGTAGAATAAGACCCAAAGTCTTTACCATGACCTACAAATGCCTCCTTTTTCTGACTCTGTTCCTCGCCAACATCTCCTCCTGCCTTTCTCTGTAATTACTGCTCTGATCCAGCTACATTGTCCTCCTACTGTTCCTCAAGCAGGCCAAGCATACTCCTACCTCAGGACCTTTGCACTTACTAATCCTGCTGCCTGGAATGCTCATCCTCAGATCTTTGCCCAGCCTGCTTTCTCCTTTGTTGCATGTCTCTAACTAAATGTGAGATTCTCAAAGAGGCCTTCCCTGACTTTAAATACATCTTTCTTGGTCCAGCTGTCTGCCCCTCATTCTCTATTCCCCTACCTTGTTTTATTATTCTTTAGAACCCTTATCATTCTCTAAAATTACTTTTATATTTGTTTACTTGTTTCTTTCTTTACTGGAATGTAAGCTCTGGAGGAGTAGGGCTTTGCGTTTTCACTGATGAAATCTCAACATCTCGAATAGTGACTGGTACGTAGTAGGCACTTTATAATTATTTACTGAATTAATAGACATTTGGTTAATGAATGAGTGGCTTTGGAGTAAAAGGGTAAGATACAAGGAAGTACATAGAAAATGCTAAATTATCAGCTGTCTTTATATGGAACCGAGCTCCCACTCAGACTTGTGCTTGAAGAATGATACTTTCTACTTTACTCTGTGGAAACACACACTAAATTACCATTTGGTTCTTTCTTATTAGGTGTTCCAGTTTTGCATCTGATCCCATTTCCTTTCCCTGAAGTCTGGCACACCATGGATGACAACGAAGAAAATTTGGATGAAACAACCATTAACAATCTAAACAAAATCTTACAAGTCTTTGTGTTAGAGTACCTTCATTTGTAATATTCTGTCTTGGTTTATGGTAATTGTATCCAGTTTCACATTCAGAAGTCAAGGCACAACTTAAAATAATCTCACTCTGGACAAATGTCATGTGGAACTTCCATCCTATAGATTCATTCTGTAGGTGTCTTTGAATATGTGATCAATAAATTCTAGATTTACCTCGTGTCCTAAATCGTTCATTAATTTTCATCTAGAGATGAAGAAAGAAAAATGTTAGGAAAGCAGAAAATAAATATCTTTAGATAAGAAACTATGAAACTAAATCAGATTCATATATACAGTATTATGGTCTTCCAAATAGTACTTAGATATGATGGCGATGTGCAATGTGTAGCCTTGGTTTTATGGTTTTTTTTTTACTTGAGAATCTCTCACTTATAATACAAAACAGAGATGTAGTTTGAGGACCTTCAAATTTCTTTGAGAAATCTTTGTAGGGTTTATTTCATAAAAATTAAATCAGAATTAAATGCCATGCCAACTTTTTTTATACATAAATGAAAAATTGTATAATTTATAGTTCATTTGTAAAGATTTTATTTCTGGGGTGCCTGGGTGACTCAGTCGGTTGGCTCAGGTCGTGAGCTCAGGGTCCTGGGATTCAGCCCCGTGTTGGGCTCCTTGCTCAGCAGGGAGTCTGCTTCTCTCTCTTGCTCTCCCTCTGCCTCCCTCTCAGTAAGTAAATAAAATCTTTAAAAAAAAAATAAAAGTTTTTATTTTTAAGCAATCTCTACACCCAACGTGGGGTTCGAACTTACAACCCCAAGATCAAGCGTGGCATGCTCTACTGACTGAGCCAGCCAGGCACCCTTCTAGTTCGATTTTGATAGAGTTTTATAAATTTATCATCTTTACTGTAAAAATAATATAGTCAGTAACAAAAAACTGAAAATGGAGAAAATTATAAACTCATTATACTAATAGGATCGCCATTCACTCTTTAGCTTTTCCTCACATATTTTCAATGCATGTTAAAAAAAAACATTATAATCAAACTGTATTTATAATATTCCAGCCTTTTTTTTCTGTTAAATTATATAATTACCAGACATTTATTTGCCGTTCTGATCTTGGGTTGAAATGAATACGAGTGTGGCCTCCAGGGTTAATATTAAGGCAGCCGGAGTAGTACAGTAATTTATGACAATTTTGTGTAGTTAAGTTATATGATATTCACATTTGATTAATTATAGTATATTTCTTTCCAGAGATTCATGGAAGCAAAATTGTTTGGGTGGAAACACATAGGAATTCATAGATTTTTTTCTTTAGCTATAGGAAACAATTATCTAGAAAACAAACTTGATCAGTTGAACATTTAGGAAACTGATCCTGTCATGTAGATGCAGTTAGTTGGGGATGCCGTTCCTCATGGGCTCGCTGTTCTGAGCAGACATTTTACTGCATACTCACTGAAGGAACGGGCTGGGGCCAGGTCGGAGGTGAGACAGACCGGCCGATTGGGGGAGCAATGACAGCTTTAGTTCAGCGACAAAGGAAGTCATAGGGAAAGGAACTGACTTTTTAAAGCCTTTTTTTCCATGAAAAAAAAAAAGGATAAATATTTTTATCTATTGACTATATAAAATTATAGCCAGAATTTTATTAAATCATGTATATCACATGTCTGTAATTTCATGTTGGTAAATTTTATAGAATTGGACTTTTCTAGGATTTCTTTTTATTTTACAAATCTGCTTCTAAAGCTATATAAAGGGAAGTTGTGCCTTGTGAGTTGAATAATATGATGAGTTAACACTTACTAGGTACTAACTCTGTGTTGGATGGTGTCGTAAGTGCTTTATGTGTTTTTACCAGCCTAAATCTTCACAACAATCCTAAGGGGCAGGTGATATTATTAACCCTATTTTATGATGCTCAAGGTGGTTAAGTGTCTTTTTCAAGATCACACAGCTAGTAAGTGGCAACAATGGGATTTGAACCCAAGCAGTCTGGCTCTAAAGCTCATGCTGTGAACCACTGTAGGGTACTGCCTCTTCACATGAAAAGAATATTGTAGAATATTCTTAATGCCAAATGCAAAGCAATAATTGTATCTTGGAATTTTTATAGGTCATTCACTCAGTCCAGAGAAGCATTCTTACATCACCCTTGCCATAATTCACCTGACAATTCTAGTCTTCAGAGGCACACCATCTGCACGCAGAATGATTTCTCTGTCATAGCAAAGGTTTTTACATCAGCATGGATATAGCAGAAATCAACACAAATGCTTCCAGGGCTAAAGAATCTAAGCCACAAAGCAGGATTAAAGGAGGCTCTTTTCTGGATTAACTTTTGGATGAGATAAAACTTTTAAAAGGGGCTTAGGGAAAACACACACACACACACACACACAAATATATATATATTTTTTTAACACCAGAAAAGAAATGATTTCACTGATTATATTAACACTGAATGAAAAGAAGTTTTAATAAGGAACATAAACATTAGTTGACAGTACTACATATATAACTATAAGCCTCAATAATAACTTCCTTTTGAGGCAGAATGAAATTAATAAATCTGCTATAATCTGTTATGTTGGCATTAGTTGAATTATTCTTAGAGGAGGAAGTTGGAGGACATGTTGAAATGAGATAAAAGGAAAAATAAAACATAAGCAGCGTAATCCGATGAAGGTTTCCTTCCTTCCAAATGGCACATCCTAAAATACTATTCACTAAGCATTTGCTGTGATATGGGAAAAGCAAGCATGATGCCGTGAAGGGAGACATTTTAAGGTATTAATCTTGATATTAATCTCTGAAATATGTTCTATATAATACATGCCAGTCAGAAATATTACTTTTTTAAAAATTATGGCTGCAAAGGCAGTGCTCCATAAACATTATGTTGTATTTGGAATTTTTCTATGTGCATCTTGGAGTATTTTACTGCCCCTAAGAGAACAATTTGTATGTTTTGTCTATTACCATCAGCCCTGCAATACATAGGGCTATTTTTCTTCCTCAAGAAAAATGAGTTCAAAGGAAAATGTTCATAAAAGAGTATTCATAACCTCGGCATAAAAAAAAATCATGAGCCTGTTATTGTAGCTTGAGGGTTGTGGCTGGAAGAGAAAAGACAGAGCCTTCAAAAGGGGAGGATGTTTTAGATGGTGAAGCAGTTGTCCTAAGAACAAAGCAGCCCATGTTTCAGCTCCAGCTCCAACTCCTTGAACTGTTTATTTCATGGACCTTCTTTATCTCATCAAAGAGGTACATTCATTATGGTGCTGCAGCAAAATCATGTGAAAATTGAATATTTGTTCAATCAACTTGGCCCAGCTGGAGGTAATTACTTCTTATAAAGGAGGGATGGACAAGACACAAGACACTTCCATTTCTCTAATGTACAGAGGGCCCTGCATGAGGCTTGCTCACGGTATATTCTGCTGAAAATGAAATCTCGGTTTCTTTGCAAGCCCCAAATGCAAGGAATGAAGAAGGACAGAGAGAAGATGAGGGATGGCAGTATTTACAACAGCCATAGTAATCTAAAGCAATACTGCCATAGGAAATTTGGGCAAATTGCTTAAATTTGCTGTTCATGAAGGGATGGGGCTGTGTTTCCATAGCCAGCCTTCCCACCAGCTTTTGGTTTCAAAGATGAATATGCAAAAGATTGAGGTTTCATTCTGAGTTTCAGGGCCACTTTCTATGCAGTCTGAAAGTCAAAGAATAGTTTTGAAGTGGTTTAACTGCCTCCCCTTACTTCTCCTTCTGTCTCACTTCTCTGACTTCTATGAGACATCTCTTTTAGCCTTCAGATAGCTAAACTCTTGCTTTGTCTCAATGGGCAGGGACCACTGGGTCAAGTTGCCGCCATGTTTCATGGAAGGGCTGAGGCGGAGAGGAGAGGTCGTTAGCTAGTTGAGCCAGCAGGGTGGTATAGGATACCCCTCAAATCCTCCTAAACTTGAAAATTGGCCCCAGGATCCTGGCACTACTTTCTGCAACAATAATTTCTGGCAGTTTTGAAGAGAGCTGAGATGAAAGTGCTGTCTGTCGTGGCTGTAACCCTCAGCCTGGATTTGGTTGGGTGTGCTCACGCAATGTGAAGTCATCTTACTGTGCTCAGATTTCAAAGGCAGCCCATGGAACGAAGCCCACTCTCCCCACATATCCAAATTAGCCCGTGGAGAGTTTAGACCATTCATTTGAGGATAAATATTAAGAGCGCAAAATTGCCAAGAAGAGAAAAAAGAAAAGATTACAAAGGTACCATAAAAAAAATCAATTTACAAACTGCAGACTTATAAAGGCACTGAAAACTTTATTCTCTTATATTTACAGAGCACTATGGGGTACAAGAAGTCCTTGGCATTCAAGGATTTAATGTTTGTGGTTTGCACTAACAAAGAATGACATGCAGTAAATTATCTGAGCTAAGAGATGGGTGCGGAGAAGTGAATGAGTTTAGCTGACTGACAGCCATCAACTTCGTGGTGTTCTATAGTGATCCTTGGAGTAACACTCAGGAAGTAATGAAACCCATTTGTTTATTAGAAATGACCCCTCCCTACCTCCTAAGCCAATCTCTGTTGCTAGAGATGCAATTAAAGAGGTCTAGGAAAATGAGGGTGACACAGGGTAGCTGTGATTTTAACTCTTTATTGATAGATGAATTAGGAGTATGAAAAGATCACTGTAAAATTTCAGGGTCTAAAAAATTATCTTTTTATGGGACAAATTATAAGCTACAATGGTGTTCAAAAGCATTTAGACCCCTTGGTATTTACCCAAAGGAGTTAAATGCTTGTCCACATGAAAACCTGCACACAGATATTTTTTTTTTAAGATTTTACTTATTTATTTATTTGAGAGAGAGAGAGAGAGTGCACAAGCAGGGGGGAGGGGAAGAGGGAGAGGGAGAAGCAGGCTCCCGGCTAAGCAGGGAACTGGATGCGGGGCTCGATCCCAGGACCCCGGGATCATGACCTGAGCTGAAGGCAGCCACTTAACCGACTCAGCCACCCAGGTGCCCCCCTGCACACAGATCTTATAGCAGCTTTACTCATAATTGCCAAAACCTGGAAGCAACCAAAATGTCCTTCAGTAAGTGAATGGATAAATAAAATGTGGTGCATATAGACTTGGGGAAAAAAAAGTGTTTGGGTTATTTCCCTTGGGAATGGTATGGTTCCATTTAGGTTATGC